TCGAATCCCAATTCTAAAAGCTGTCGCTTCGATAGCCACCACCTTTTTTCCCTACATCTATCACTTTAGAAAACCTACGGTTAAAATACATTAACCACTGTTATCAACATATCAATAGTCACTTTAATTATTGCTACATACCATTGTTGACCTTGCTTTTCAAATAGTACAGGGACACATTCATAGCCGGCGGGCAATCAATTTTTCCCTCAGTAATCAAGAGCAAGCTTAAATATGGCAAGCCGGTTAACTCAATATTTTGAGTTTCACACCTGCATAGGCGATACAGATTTGCGAATTATGACCTAGAAAAATGATCTAATTTGTTAAAGGTAATATTAATAAAAATACTAACTATAAATAACATTTAATCTAAATCTGAAAAAGCTAACACGTTACCACTCTCGGATGCTTTAAAATTCGTCTTTTCCAATTCTGCTTTTTGTCTTTTTATACATTCTTTATGACTTTGAGCTCTATATAACCTTTTACCAAATTTGAATGCCCTTTTTTTGTTATTTCATAAGCTCCGATCTGACCTCTCTTGTGTTTTATACGATTTATTTTTAAAGTGCTAATTAAAACCTTCATCGAAAAGTGGTACAATATTTAAGCACGATCTAAATCTATTATATGATATAATCACTTATGTACTATATCTCTATTAAAAAAAAAAAAAAAGATCTAACTGAATCTACTACTTGATATAAATCGTTTATACACGATATTTCTAATGATAATGGGAAAAAAAAAAACAAAAAAAAAAACTATTTATTAAGTTGTTGAAAGGGTGCTCGAGGTAATATAAATTGATAATTTTTTTGTGCTGATTTTTCAACTGAAGAACTCTTGTTTGTATCAATCTGATAACCTGGTGCTTGCGAAGTATTCTGGTTAGCTTTGGACATGGCGGCAGGTCTAATAAAATAAATAAATAAATGTTTAGTAATATACAGTATTCAGAATAAAAAATAAAAAAAATAATATCGTATTAGTCAAATTTTAGATTATTGTTCCAAAAGAATCACTTTGTTAAAGTAAAACTCATATTCTAATTCGTACTATTCAGAAAATTCACCCGAATCTGCTATAAATTTACAAGTAGCAGTGCCGCATTGAAAAGTATGATGGTTCTCTTTAAACTCTGCTTGTGACCAACTGAAGTTGACTATGTAGGAACTATCATGATCTTTAAACAAAACATAACCAATAGTTTTCAACTTTGGGTCTTGTAGAACGTTCCAATTGTCATAATTAACTAATTGTCTTAAACGTAGTTCACCATCTTCACCCTAAAAAAAACAAAAATATTTTCATTGCACAGAGCTATATCGGAAAGAAGGTTCATTTTCAAAAAGATAAACAAAGATATTTTCCAGAAAAGCATTAATAGAAACTTGTTTTGCACCTATTGAATGCCTATTAAAGCCAAGACGTTTTTTAATAAGAACTATAAGCACATCTTGATAAAACGTAACTTGCTCAAGGGAAGGTTGAATAAGTAGCTTGCGATGAGGTATAATTTTGTTATTTCTATGTTTAATTCTCTCATGAGTTACAAGCACTTTTCGAGAAGGAAAAATTGCTTGACAAAGTTGGCATTTACTAGCCATTGAAGTACTAATGCTAATTCTTGTGATTCTTGTATGCAAAACATTTTTATTGGTCAATCATTTTTAGACATCACAAATTCCCAGATATCACATTTATAACTTAGGTGATATAATCGAATGGAAACAAATCCGCCCATATGTCAATGTTAAGATTTCAAAAGGAATTGGATAATTGGACAAGTGACAATTTTGAAATTGATGACTTTATTAAACAAACTCAACTCAATGCAGAGAAGTTTGGAGACATTATCGAATGGATACCTTTTAGTAAAGTTACAAATATAAAGTATTTTGCTAAAGGAGGCTTTGGCACTGTTTTTAAGGCAGTATGGACTGACAGATATATTTACGGATTTGATTACCAAAAGAATGTGTGGAAACGAAAAGGACAAATAAATGTTTGTTTAAAAGGCATTGATAATCCTAAGAATATAAAACAAGAATTTTTAAATGAAGTATATATTTTATAATTTATTATTATTTTGCCATTATTATTCATGTTCTATTTATCCTAATTAATATTTAGATTAAAATCAACATCAACATGGAGGTAATTCAGCAATTAAAATTTATGGAATAACTAAGAACCCAAATGATGATAATTATATGATGGTGATGGAATTCGCAAAGCAGGGAAGTCTCCGAAAATTATTAGATAGCAAAAATAACGATTTAGATTGGAATTTTAAAGTCGCTATCTTATATCACATAGCTGATGTGCTTAATTCAATTCACAAAGCAAATTTAGTGCATAAAGATTTTCATTCTGGAAATATAGTTAACCAAAACATGTATAATTCTTTCATTACTGATTTCGGACTGTGCAAGCCAGTGTCCCAAGATTCAAGCACTGAAGGGATTTTTGGTGTAATTCCTTACATTGCACCAGAAGTATTATATACGGGCGGAAAAGAGTATACTCATAAACCAGATATTTTATTCTTTTGGAATTATTATGTCTGGAGTTTTTACTTGATATCCTCCATATCATGATATTCCGCATGATGAAAATTTAGTAAAAAAAATTTGCTTAGGTCATAGACCTGAAATTAAATGTGAGGTTCCCCAAATATTTTTTGATTTGCTTGGATGTTGAACCTCAAAGTCAACCAACTGCTAATGAATTAGTTAATGCACTAGTTAAATTTTTTTACGATTTGGGAAATAAAAAACCGAATTATATAAGCAAGTTAAAGAAATTAAAGGCTCAGGCAAAATTCAAATCAAGTTACATTAATACGACCCAACTATCAGACACATAAGCAAGCTATTTATACAAGTCGGTTTTTGAATTATCAAAATCTTCCTAAACCAATAAATGCTAATCCAGTAGTCACAAGTTAGAATGTTGCCCTATCAAAATAATGGTGCATTATTTTTTAATACTTCTTAACTTGTGTGTTGAACGATTTTGATTAGTATCATATTCGTCATGGAGAATAACTAGATCTAAACTGGGTTATTTTTGATTTATATCCCCCTGGATATACTATTTAGGTCTTGTATCAAAGTCATATATGAGACACTGATTTGTTTTATATGTCACATTTATAAATTCGGTTTAACATATCCGGGTCTTTTACAAAGTATACAATTAATAGTTCTGGTAAAATATTCGGTATTAATCAAAGGGGTATTGCCAACAAGGGTATATTTTAATAATATGTTAAAGATTGCTAAAAATTTCTTATATCAAGTTTATTATCATAATAGTCAAATATAACACCATAAAAGAAATAAATTTTGCTTTTGTAACTTGACCTATTAAATGATCATATGTACAGTACATGCATAAGTAGAATTATAATAAATCAACCAGTGATGTTTGCACAAGTTTTTAAGAGAAAATTCTGCTACTATCATCTATCTAGAACTAGAATTAGAGTTACTTAAGGAGATTGGAGTTATTGCGTAGTATCGGATATCAGGTTATCAGATATTACTTATGGAACCGACATGGTGGACCAAATTTTAATCGTTTATGGCAGGTTACCGGTTTTACAGGATCGGTTTTGGGAGGGCCGACAGTATTATTTTTATTAAAAAGCAAATATTTTGAGTGGCAATATAACTACGGTTATAATGCACCTGCTGAATAATATCTACGTTATAATAATGACTTACTAATAGTGACCCAGTTAATAGTGCCACGTCATTAATGCCAAGAATAATTATTGTCATTATTTATTTTTTAACAAAAATTCCAATATCTACCCATATTCTTATATATTAATCCAGATTATTTAAAATAACTACATTATTTTGTCTTATTTCCAATGATTTATTATAATCTGCACGTGCTTCTTCATATTTACCCATATTATTATATGTTAATCCACGATTATACAATGTATTTGCATCATTTGGTCTTATTTCTAATGATTTATTATAATCTTCTAATGCTTCTTCATATCTACTCATATTAAGATAAATATTTCCACGATTATATAATGCATTTGCATAATTTGGTTTTATTTCTAACGATTTATTATAATCTGCAAGTGCTTCTTCATATCTACTCATATTAATATAAGTATTACCACGATTAAATAGAGTAATTGCATCATTTGGTCTTATTTCTAATGATTTATTATAATCTGCAAGTGCTTCTTCATATCTACCCATATTATTATATGTTAACCCACGATTACATAGTATATTTGCATCATTCGGTTTTATTTCTAATGATTTATTAAAATCTGCAAGTGCTTCTTCATATCTACTTATCTTATGATAAGTAATTCCACGATTACATAATGTATTTGCATCACTCTGTCTTATTTCTAATGATATATTATAATCTGTTAGTGCCTTTTCATATCTACTTATTTTATGATAAAGATTTCCACGATTGCACAATGCTTCTGCATTATTTGGGCTTATTTCTAATGATTTATTATAATCTGAAAGTGCTTCTTCATATTTGCCCATATAATAATATGCTAATCCACGTTTATATAATGTACTTGCATCAGTTGGTCTTATTTCTAAAGATTTATTATAATCACTAAGTGCATTTTCATATTTACCCATATTATTATATGTTAACCCACGGTTGCTTAATATATTTGCATCATTCGGACTTATTTCTAATGATTTATTATAATCTGCAAGTGCTTCTTCAAAATTATCCATTTCATGAAATATTTGACTTCTGTAATTATAAGCCAAAGATTTTGATGATTTTAATTGAATTGCCATTGCTAAATCCTTTAAAGCTTGAGAATATAATTTAAGTTTCCAATATGCAAATGCTCTTCTACATAAAATTGAATAGCTTTTTGGATAAGATTGTAAAAGCCGTGTTAACCATACTATAGCTGTTGTATAATCCTTTTGTTGTTCGGCTTTAGTTGCTTTATTTAATGCTGGATGTAAAATTTTTGGAAATTTTTTCAAAACTGAACTGAGTGATTTTGAAGACTTATGAATCTCAAATACATTCATCTTATTAATTGTTAAAGATAAATCATCATCCGATATTTGTTCCCCTTTCATTTGCGCTAACCTTTTATAAAGGCCTTTTATCATTGCATTTTGTGCAAGACTATAGATTGATTCCATCTTAATTTCAGATCTGCAAAATGGACATTTAAATAATTTATTCTCGGATATTGAAACGCTTTCCCACTTATTAATAGCATCACGGCTGACTGTATTACCACAACATGATAAAATAAGAAAATCTCCAGTTATTTGTCCAGTAATCTTACAGGTAAAGTTCTCAACAACTATTTTTAATAAAGGATTAGATGTTTTATCTGGCATATTGTTCTTGATTATCGATTTCTTTTCATAATCGATACTAAAATGTTCTAAAAATTCATTATTTAGTTGAAGCTTTTGATTTATATCATGAATTAGGTTTTTAAATTTTAGATGAGAATTTACTGGTAATACTTCAATAAATTTCTCTATTTCTTCTTGTACTATATCTTTAAACCACTTAGGCTCCTGATAAGATAGAGAAATAAGTAATTCTAAAGATTTGAATTGAATATAGTAGCATTGAGACTTTTGCAATGATTCCAAGCCTAAATAGTAACAAAGAGCTAAATTGACAGGTTGAACAGTTTGACGGCTTAAATTTTGAGCAAGGTCTAATACGCCAAACCATAAAGAGTTCGGTAGAGCAGTTGGCTCTTTTCTAGTCCATAATTCACGAAAAGCTTTATGATTATTCAGGATAGTTAAATTATCATCATGTTTTTGTTGTTCACACCCTCGATTAAAAGCATGTTGCCAAAGTGATTCAAGTATATAAGCCTCATTATAGAACCGTAAAATGTTAAAATTTGAACCTCTTGCCAAAGCTTTTAATGAATAATGAATTAATAAGAGGTTACGCCACTCTGGATACCAATAAGCAATAGGATATTTAAAATTTAAAACATTTCTAATTCCTGGTAAAGTATTATTAATAAGTGAATTATCAAGTGCAGTAGGAATATTTCCAGAAGTGACAGAATGTATTTTAGAAGCACCACTAATAAGAGTTAAAATGCTTTCTTTAAAACGTTGTAAAAATTCATCTAATTGAGTTTTATCATCACGCATATTGTGTAAAGTGTCGCGCAAATAGATCAGTAAAAAATTAATATTATAGTTTGGGAAATGCATGTAGATATTAGACTTAGAGCTATAATTAACACCTTGGTTAAACATTTCAGTTACCCGATAGTGAACATCAACAAAATTGTCTAAATTACTATAGAGTTTATCAAGAGTTTCACGAGTTAATACAGTAGGAGAATAAAACACTACTTCTAAGGTGGTAACTAAAGTTCGGAGATGCAATTCTAATTGTGGAATAGTATTTCTTGTATAATATTTGACGTCAAATAAAGAAGCATCACTAAGTAATAAAAGTGCATCAACTAATAATTTTAATAATGGTGCAGAAGAAGGTTCTATTTCAAGGTCTTCAACTAAATACTTAAAACTAATTAAATTTGATGGATCTCTTAAGTCTTTCATTAACTCCTTAGCACGATCAATATTGGCCTTATGCCCTTCTTCAGTTTTTGTTATATTTTTGTTAATGATAAAAGCCGAATTAGTTGAAAGACTCTTGTCAACATAATCGCATTGATTATGTCCTGCAGACTAAAAAAAAAAATACATTAACTTTTATACTAATTATTCTTAGAAGATATTTATTATTATTCTTACGGTTGAAGAACTCGAACCAGGATTTCCATACTCTTCTTCCATTGTAAAGATTACTTGATAATTTATAATTAATGTGAAAAATAAGGAGTGACAAATTATTTTTTGCTGTCAAAATGAAATCTGATGATTTATGTTTACGGATTACAATTTCATAATAATCGTGATATGCCTTATAATAGTAATACTGTTACACCTAGGGCGTTCTCATGCACAACCCTAGATGCAGTTTTCTAGTGGTCGAAATTAGGCTGCTCAGAATTCTGAAATTACATAAATTCTGCAAATTTTGCGATGCATTTGCCAAATTCACTAAATTTGTACGTAGAATATGCGGATTTACAATTAAATAGTGTATTTCTATTGGTCTGATGATTTTTGCTTTGTAGAATTTGAGGTGTAGCTTATTGCTGATCCGAAATAATACTTGACAATTATCTTACAGCCAGTGTTGTCATGGGACAATTACTGACAAATAAATAAATTAAAATTCTCAAAATTTTATAAGTTAACCTATTTTAACTTTATAGATAAAAATATTCAGCACTATAAAAAAATCTATAATCATCTTTTAACTTTATTGATTCAATAGTTTATCGAATAACTATTGAATCAATAGAAGTAAAAGATGATTAACATATGAACATGAACCGGTACTCGGGTTTATTTTTGTCCCAATTAACCCGATAGGAAATGTCGAAAGGCATATTAATTTTTGAAACTTAAATATGCTGAGGACATTTTTGGACATATGGATGTTTGGACATGATATAAAAAAGTCTTGGACATAGTAGTATAATAACTTAAAAGTTTAGTTTCTTTGCCTTTGTAAATGCAATAATTTCGTAGTACGTACGTACGTACTACCCATCCAGTTTACTTATTTGCGCGAGTAACATAAACCAAAAAAGGAAATCGAATTTTGTAAGTCATTGAAGAAGTTCGTTTTGATTGGCTAAAATTTGGATAAATATAATTGGTGATGATCATTTATTTATACAGTCAATTGTAATTTTTAAAATACTTTTATTAGTAAAAATCGTCACGCCACATAAAAAAATTAATACTGTACGCGGCAAAACAGACTTAAGCAACTGATTTTTCGCCCTTAAACCTATTTTTTTATAATGAGAGATACAGTAAGATACAAAAGTTCAGGAACCTAAATGAGAAGTGAATATTTTAAAGGGTCGGAAGGTGGTTCGGCAACCTAAGCAATTAGTAAGTGAAAATTGTGAGATTTTGTCTCAACTGGTCTGGTTTACCTTTTACAAATAAAAATACTGTTCTGAACAAAAATACTATTTGAACAATTATTTTAAACCTTTTTGTTATTATTATTGATATTGTAATGATATTTATCGATATTTTTTGGTTTTAAATAAAATCAATTACAATCTTCCTTCTCTATAATCACACAGTTTGTATCAAGAAAATTGATGATTATAAAAAAGTGTGATTATATAAAAGTTGTTTTTCATAAGTTTTTTAATAAATTGTTTCAAAAATTAATATGATTGTATGTGAGTTGTAATTATATAGGAGGTGATTATAGAGGAGGAAAACTGTAGATAATATAATATAGATTTAGTAGTTTATTTATTGATATCAGTCACATTATATATCATGGGGTAAATTTTTATATATATAAAACTATAGCAAAAATTTATAGAATTACATATAAACTTTGTTGCGATGATGTTTCTTCATTTACATATTAACTTTAAATTAAATTTTACAAATAAATACATCAAAAAAATGAGAAAAAATTATGTTTTAGACTGAATAAAAATCTTGTAATTTTGATACAATTTAAAAATGTAATTCTGCTAAAAAGAAAATTTTAACAGTTTTAAGATAATAATTATATATAAAATTATATTCTGAACAACTTCAGTCTAAGAGTACAAAAAAGTTATCTTAGTAAAAAAATAGTTTTCTATGTACTAATATTAAAATTTCTAGTTTTTCTATGTAAAACTTTTTTTTCTACTTAGATAACCTTTTCTGACCTCTTAAGCAAATTTGTTCGATACATAATTCTACATATTTTGCATCTTGCTGATTTTGCTTTTTCAAATCTTTTTACTAAATAAAAGATTGGATCAAAAGTTAAACAAAAATTTTTTTTTAAAAAAAATTTTTAAAAAAAAATTTTCATGTAACTTTTGATCCAATCTTTCACTTAGTAAAAAGTGTAAAAAAGCAAAATTAGCGAGATATAAAGTACATAGAATTATGTATCGAACAAATTTGCTTAAGAGGTCAGAAAAGGTTATCTAAATAGAAAAAAAGTTTTATATAGAAAACTAGAAATTTTGACATTAGTACATAGAAAACTTTTTTTTACTAAGATAACCTTTTTGTATACTTAGACTGAAGTTGTTCAGAATATGATTTTATATATAATTATTATCTTAAAACTATTAAATTTTTCTTTTTAGCAGAATTACATTTTTAAATTGTATCAAAATTGCAAGATTTTTATTCAGTCTAAAACGTAATTTTTTCTCCTTTTTTTGATGTATTTATTTGTAATATTTAATTTAAAGTTAATATGTAAATGAAGAAACATCATTGCAACAAAGTTTATATGTAATTCTATATGTTTTTGCTATAGTTTTATATATACAAAAATTTACTCTGTGACATATCGTATGACTGATATTAAATGATATATTTATTTTCTTCATATCTGCTTTTCTTTAAGACAATATTTAACTATTGTTATCATGATATTTTGAAGATTTATTATGATATACTCTGATTATTATTAATATTGTAACTATTTTTATCGATTTATATTATATTTGCTTTATTATTTTGCATCAATTTAGTATTTACTGTTTTAATATATCATAAGCTGATATTTATATTTTTTATTCTGATTTTATATTAAATCTAATATTTATCTATAAAGATATTTATAATATAAGCTTATATTTCAATTTTTAACAAATAATAAAATATAACAATATTTTAGTTATCACCTTCTTCTCAATCTTTTTTTTGCTTTATTCTTTTCCCTTAGCCTTTTTCTTTTCTCTTAGTTCTTTTTTTTAACTGCTCCCTTACTTTTACCTTTGTCTTCATCTTTATTTTCACCTTCACCTTCATCTTCACCTTCACCTTCACTTTCACCTTTACTTTTACCTTCACCTTCACTCTTACCTTCTCTTTCACCTTCTATATCTTTAATATTATAAACTTGTGATTGCCTTTTTGTTTTGACAGATGTTTCTGGTCTTCTTGGACTTAGTGTTGTTAATTTGATTAGTAATAGTTCTTCTGTGCTGGGTTGTTGTGAGTGTTGTAGTTGCTGGTGTTGCTGCTTTGGGGTTGCTGAAGTTGTTACTTTAGAGGTTGCTACTTTGGAAGTTGCTGAGGTTGCTGATTTGGGGGTTGCTGCTTTGGAAGTTGCTAGGGTTGCTGCAGTGGTAGTTTTGGGCCACTTCAATACATCTTGTAGACTTGGAAGTGAGTGATTTCTTTCTTTACCAGTTTTTCTTCATTTATATAGTATAACTTTATCATTATCACCTATATCATCTCTATCCTTCCTTTCAAGTTTTCACTTTTTTCTTTTTTCTCAGATCTTCTTCTTCACTTGAAAAGTCAGCATCAAATTCTGATGCAGTGATATTATACCATTCTATTACTTCAGGTGATAATATCTAACTAGGACAATCTGAGTGCAATATTCTTTCTTTATCTATATGATCTTCATAGTGATGTTTGATCATTCATTTATTTTTAGATTGCAGTTATTTTACAAACAGATCTATTCGTTTATAAAAAAGCTTTTTTAACTAAATAATATATTAGAGCACTATATTATTAATATATATTGTTAACTTATATGCATACTATGAATACTATGATAAAATTAGTTAGTATTATATATAATACTAGCTAATTTTATCTTAGTACATATAATATCTTAATAATAATATATATATTTACATATAGCCCACACCACCATTTGTCTACATATACTAATTTTTTCTGTTTCTTCCTATCTCTTACTGTCGTATTCTCATCTGTCACTTATTCTTCAACGAAATGATATGCGTTTCCTCTTTTGCTTCTTGTCAATAACTCCAAGTCATCATATGAGTATCTTAAAATTTTTTTATTTCCTGACTTAATTAAAAAAGTCAATGCCCTTTACCTTCTTTTCCTCTTCTAATTTCATAAAAAAAAAATTTAATTATTATAGTGTATAATTCTCAAAAGTTATTTTATTATATGTTATATGCCAATACAATACCAGATAATATTGTATGACAATCCTAACTCTATGTGATATCGGTATATGACTTATAAATAGTTAATAAATTTTGGTAAATTTATTTAAAAATAAATTAAATAAAGTCAATATTATATTATTTGTAACTTATAAATAGTTAATAACTTTCAGTGAATTGATTTAAAAATAATTTATATAAAGTCAATATTTTATTATTCTTACCTCATTAACCTTACTATTTTGCCTCATTCTGATGTGATTATACAACTATAAATCAGAGTCAGCATTTATTTGTATAATACACTTCTGTGTTTTATGATGCTGCTTTAGAATCCTTTCAATTGTACCAGAATGTTGCTTATATACAGATAAATTTTTAATTAATGCCAGAATTAACTTTTGCCTTATAGCCTTCAACTGATCTAATCATTTGATCTGAGGATCCAGTTTTAAAGAAAATAATTTACCCCTTTTGATTAATATTTTAATTTCATTCTATAATAATAATAATAATAATAATTATAATTATAATAATAACCTATTAAAAAAGACAGAGTTAGATAATAAATATATTTACAGGAAGATAAACTGTTTGCTTCTGAGTTAGTTGTCTTGGTGGTTTATGATTATTGCTGTTGCTACTATGACTGCTGCTGCTGCTGCTAGCAGAGTGAATACTGCTATCATAATAACTTCTACTTCTTTCACTACCTGATTGCTCTCTATTATCTTTGCTACTAGTTGTGCTAGCACTACTAGAGCTAGAGCTTGATAGTTCAACCCTTTCCTTTCTTTT